TGTGAATGAACAGAAATCCCCCTTATGCTGTTACACAGGATTTGCAATGATATAAACATCCAGTTTGAGATAAACAGTGAACCGAAGAGCTGGTAGTGTCAAATGTGTGACAGTGTAGTAGCAGACAGACAAAAGGGGTTACAGGTCCAAGTTTCGAATACAGACACATCACGAATGCAGGATGTGGGTGTGGAAATTTTGCCCCTGGAGATACTCAGAAACCTGGACCGCTGGCCCTTGGTGGCCAGGCCTGAGCAGGCTGGGAGCAGGTGACCTCCAGAGCTCCCTGCCCGCCGCAGCCAGGCTGGGGTTCTGCAACAGCTTCAAAAGCAAAGCATTAGAAAAGCTCTCGGCTGCAGGTCAGAAATCCCTTAATGCCTCACACAGGGGGGTCAGGCAGAGGAATTTGTGTTACCTTTTTGTTTACTTTGGGACTCAGGGTAAATTTTGCAGTGATCCAGGAGGGACACTACGCACCGTCTGCTCACGGGACAGAGGCCTGATACCACCTTGACTCAGGTGTTCAGAAGGTCATGTGCTGCCAGTGTCGTGCGGGGAGGTGACTGCTGGCCCTTGATTGTGCTTAATTGAATACATTGAAGGTACCTCACAGTAATTGGTGATGTTTAAATACCTCTTCGTTGTACCTCACAGGCACGCTGTGCATGGCTTCATACAAACGTGCAGTGAGATGGTTTAATGCAGATCTGTAATGATACTTTTGGCACTGTACAAGTACAGAAGCAGAGAGAGAGAGAGGAGGAATGCAGGGCCAAACGAGAAATGACACCAAGGTTAACAGCCCTGTCCCTCTACCAAGAGTTGTGATTTTTCTACAGCTGTAGGTTGGCAAGCTCTCAGCTTCATACCTCTTAAAAAGACAGCTCTTCTTGAAGAGTGGGACTTGTGGAACTAATGTGAATTTGGGGTTGTTACTAATTCAGTGGAAATTGCACCAGCATCCAAAAGGCTGAATCTGCTTCATGTGACACATTGGTTGTTGAAGGAATGTTTGTCTGCTAGTGTTTTAAATCACCACTGTGTGAAACCTGTAAAAGATAGTCTCTTTAAGCCTCTGAGTCCTCAAAATAATAAATATTGCCAAGAACATGTTGGGATGGAAACAAGAAAAGCAAAGCTAAATTTCAGAATCCTGCATTTGAAGTAATCTCAAGCTCCCTTTGCTATGGGTATCTTCCTACTCACAGAATTTCTTGGATCTAAAGGGGCTTGATCCTGAACATTGTCGAGACAGACTTTCTCTAAATCTTCTACTTAGTGCAGTTAGCCATCTTTTTCTTTTAGAGAGAAAAACAATATACAGTACTCCATGTTGGGAAATATACAGGAATAAATCCAGTGGAAATGTGAGAATTCACCAGGGTCTGTTCACCTCGCTATTGTTCATAGCAAAGCAGCAAGGGAAAAATAATTCCTATTCCCTGGCATTTGGTTTCTCCCTCAGCAGCAAACTATAAGCAACTGGTGAAGTAAAATGTTTTCCAAAACAGTTTTGATCCTATTTTTATAGTAGTGCCGTCCATTTTCAAAACCCACTGGTTTGTGTTGGTTTTGGTGTTTTTTTGGGGTTTTAGGGTTTTTTTCTGTGGAGAACTTCCTCAAGCACTTCTATTTTTCACTGGTTTATTTGCCTTAATTTGCAGCAGGTTTCCTCTCCCTAAGAATTTCATATAAAGGTACTTTGTCAGTTTGGAACTGAGAGCCACGGCTCAGCAGATGGGGGCAGGACGTAAATGACTCTGTGTCCAGCTGACAGGGTAAGGAGGCTTGAGGGAAGTGAAAAGTAATAACCTGTGGGAGTGTTGGGTGAATGTTCTAACAAATACAGTGCTGGGAATACACAGAGGAAGCGCTCAGGCCCTCCTTCGGTCTGGGGTCGGGGGGGGAGGACACTCCGTGTGCCCCTGGGCCACCTGCGGTCTCTGGACATGCGGGCGCAGGCTGGGTGCTCGTTGGGGTGCAGGGTCGCAGCCTCTGTAACCCCAAACCTGGTCAGACACCACAGACATTTTTTTTATGAACTAACTTGTCTCTGTTGCTGGAGACTGCAGGTCTCTGCTCCCACCTGTGTGCCTGAGCCTGGCGTGGGGGGCCCCGCTGGCCCGCCGTGCTGTGCCAGCAGCATCTCCCAACAGGAGGGCTACAACTGAGGACTTGCTGTGAGTCCCTCGGATGTTGCTGTTCGTATCACTGTACAGCGGGGGAAAGGAAGCAAAACAACAACTGAATTCTTTTGTGATTAGTTTTCCCTGCTGCTCGGTGTTCAGTCACCAGGAAGCTGATTAATCCAGGCATTTTAGGCACTGTGAGCTGCCGTCCGGGCTCCCCTGTCTCACCTTGCCCTATATATACTTTTATTCCAAGTAACGTGATGTTTTTCTGTCACATCTTTAAAGATCCAAAGAAGGGAGGAGGAAGCAGGAGCTGAGCAATCTCCTTACAGCAGGCTCACTCTGCTTGCTTAAGCCAGCTGCCCTGCTTGTGTGAAAAACCAGTGGTCTTGGTGAGTGACTCTGGTGCATGCGTTTGCTGAACTAGTTCTGAAAGAAGGATGAGACACCTTTAGAGGAGCTGTTGTGTTGCAGAACGGGAGGGAAACGGATGGTGTTGGCAGTGCTGGGGGTTCAATAAGCTCTCAAGGGGGAGGAGAGCGTAAGGTCTCATGATTCCGGTCGAGGCACGGCGTGACGCCGAGGTGTTTTCAGTGTGTCTCCTCTTGGGAGGTTGTGCAGCTCCACTCCCTCTGTGCTGAGTCAATATACGGGAAAATTGCAGTGCAGGGGAGATAGATTAATTGAATTGTAATCCCTATTTTTATACACACGTTGACCATTACAGTATTTAATTTACTAGCATTTTTTCAGGACAGATTGCCAGTCATCTTAAATCAATAATATGTCACCAGCATTTCCCAGGGACCCAGTTTGTGCTGAGTCTTTCCTTTCTAAAGCCTTGTCAGTACAGAGAAAGTACTTAAATTATCTCAGTTCTGTTCCAGAATAGCACTTTGTACAGCCGTTCACTTTTTAATTGGAAAAAGACCCCTTCTTGTTATTCCAGAATAATATCCACACAGCTGGTAATTATGAAGTAATTATCCCTACATGCCTTATTCTTCTATATCTCTTCTGGTTTGTTTTCTGTCACAGGTACAGGAAGGTAACCTGAGGGGAGATGCTGGCATCAATTGATGTTTAAAGGGGGGGGGAAGAGAAAGTTTTTACAAAATTTTTCTCTCACAAAACTTGTGTCTGAGAGGAAGAGGAGTGTACTATTAGTGTAATTTATAGTAATTATACACACACACCAATTAGACCCAACTGGGAATAAATTAAGCTGAGAGAAACTCTTCATTGCAAAGTGACGTTGAAGTCCCCTTCATTCTGACACTGTGCAGCACATTCTGAAACGTGCCAATTCCACCTCAGAGCAAATCTGTGCTGTGGAGGAGCTGAGAGCCGGACATGACCAACCGCTCCTTGGCTCTGGGACGCTGGGTCAATCCCACCCGCTCTCACCTTTACCACTGTCTAGTGCAAAAGTACTTATTTATGGGGGAAGAAGAGTTATTTCAAATTACTTTCTGAAAAATTTGCATCAAATTTGTGGATCTTTCTTTTTTTCATTGGCCATTAATACTAAAATGCCTTGATCTGGAGTAGATCCAGATCATTACAAATGGATTGATAAGGTTCTTTTCCAGAAGCCAGCTTGTTTTGTAAGGCAATTAAGAGGCGTAATAAGATTGTATCAGTGTGCTGAATAAAAAAAGTCTACACTGTGCTGCTTCATGGATTACAGCAAGTTGGTGAAGCAGCAGATGGAGCCGCGTGCTCTTGCGCGCAGTGTCCCTGGACGAGGGGCTGCGCAGTTGTGCCCCGTGGAGCTGGTTGGTGCTTTGGGCCAGGCCTGCCCTGTGCACACAGGATCCTTGTTTCTTCTAGACCGCACAAAGAAATCAGATCAGTGACAGTCCTTGGAAAATCTTAATGAAATTCCCAGTCACAAGAAGAGGTGCCTTAACGAGTGTGTACTGCTTCGGGGTACACGTCCCCAGGTCTCAGAGACAGCCTGTTCCCTGCGCAGCGCTAACGCCCGGCAGTGTCCGTCCCGCTGTTAACAGGAGTTCTCAGCACTGACTCTGCATCCCTCAGACCAGACCCCGGGTTTCTGCAGCTAAACCCGCCTAGGGGAGCAGTTGCTGTTTCTGCAGTCTCTACAGACTGGAAGCTGGTGCCCTGTGGTTTTCAGCAACCGAACCCCTCTAGAGAACAGATGAGATTTCTGGGTGTCTGGTTGCTTTTCCTACCGCGGGGACGGCGTGGAGCCTGTCTCTTATACAC